CCATTCTTGATGAACTAGAAAAATGGCAAGTAGAGGCCTTAAAGCCAGAAAATGTGAAGAAGGAAGGGATGGTACATTATGCTGATATTTTACTTGATGATCCACGTGGACTGAAAGTATTTAAGAATTGGCTATGGATTCCAAAGATTGGTGGATTAAGACAGAAGATTTTGGATGAAGCCCATAAGTCTAAATTGTCAATACATCCTGGTATAAGTAAAATGTACTATGATGTACGGGCTGATTATTGGTGGCCTGGATTAAAGAGAGACATCGGAAGATACGTGCAATAATGTTTAATATGCTTACAAGTCAAAGCAGAGCACCAAAAGCCTTACGGAATTCCAGAAAGTATTAGTGTTCCCGTGTGGAAATGGGAGGAGCTGTCCTTGGATTTTATTACCAAATTGCCAAAGACTGCGAGACAGAATGATATCATTTGGGTAATTGTCGACCGACTGACTAAGAGTGCACATTTTCTTGCCATGCGTGAAACAGCTCCAATGGAAAAATATGCACAAGTATACTTGGATGAAATTATTGCGAGACATGGCGTGACACTAAAGATTATTTCCAATCGTGATACTCGCTTCACTTCTCATTTTTGGGCGAGTATGCAACGTGAATTGGGATCTCGAGTTGCTCTCAGCACAACGTATCATCCCCAGACAGATGGTCAGACAGAGAGAACAATCCAAACAGTAGAAGATATGCTTCGTGCATGCGTCTTGGAGTTCGGGGTAACTGGGATAAGTACTTACCTTTTGTCGAATTTTCATATAATAACAGTTACCACACTTCAATCAAAATGCCACCATATGAAGCACTATATGGAAGTAAATGTCGTACTCCATTGTGTTGGCGTGATGTAGGACAAAAAATCCTTGGAGGCCCTGAAATGATTCAAGACACCACTGATAAGATTCAAATTGTACGAGAAAGAATGAAAGCGGCCCAGGATCGACAAAAGTCCTATGCAGAAAAGAGGCGACGACCCATAAAATTCCAGTTGGGTGATTTTCGTAATGCTGAAAGTATCCTCATGGAAAGGCATTATGCGATTTGGGAAGAAAGGAAAACTAAGTCCTAGATTTGTTGGTCCTTTCAAAATCATCCAGAGAATTGGTAAGCAAGCATATCGCTTGGAATTGCCTGAAGATTTGGCAGGTATTCATGATGTGTTTCATGTGAGTTATTTGCGTAAATGTTTAAGCATATATGATGAAACAATCCCGTTATCCGATGTGAAACTGGATAATAAATTAAGATATGTAGAAGAACCTGAAGAGATCATAAACGAAAGAACGACTAATCTACGTAATAAAGAAATGGAGTTGGTGCTTGTCAAGTGGAAACACCATCGCGACCCAAATTATACTTGGGAAAATAAGAATGAGATAAGAGCGAAATATCCCCATTTGTTTAAATCGTTGTAATTTCGGGGACGAAATTCTCAAAAGGATGAGGTATTTATAACATACACGTTAATAACCTAGTGTAATTATCGTATTTTGTAATCCTGTTAGTGAATATTATTGAATATTATATGATTTTGAGCGTTGAGTTCTAACAAGCTAGTTTTTACGAGATTTGAAGTAAAACTATGTTTAGAATCGTTCGGAAAATATTGGAAGTCTTATGAGATTCCGATCAAAAGTCAACTATTGAAATTAACGAAAATATAAAGTTGGAAATAAGTAAAAGTATGTTATTGAAAGTTGTAGATTATCTTGTTAGAAACATTTAGGCGAAAATCTCATCGAAATCTGAGTTATAACGAAGAAGTTATGACTCATTAAAGTTTCGCAACAGAACCGGCACGACGCTATATGACGTAAAAAGTGAGTTTTCAATAAACTACTTTTTAGCTTTAGTGATCTAAATGAAAGTTGTAGTATTCGTTAAACCGAGAGCTTTCATAAAAAGAACGTCAAAATCTGACTTCGTATGAGGATGTTATGATTTTTCTAAGTTTCGACATAGCAGTACACAACACGAGACTCGAAATAAAGATCGAGTGATTTTTAGCCGACACAACTTAAACGAGAATCGAAGGTCTCGTCAATAGTAGTACAACGATAAAAAGACAGAAGAAAACGGACGTCGGATAAAGAAGTTATGAATTTTTAACGGACTTTTCATTTCCCGGTCTGTTAAAAATATAATATTAAAAATGAAGTCAAAATTAGCCGACGGAGTCTAAACGAAAGTTGTAGAGTATAATTTCACCTACACGTGGATATAAAGAACGTCAAAAATGGAGTTCGTATGCGAAAGATATGAGTTTCTGAAGTTCGGAACACAAACTTCGAGGCCTGACCAAACTCACGACGTGAAGTAGTTGATTGACACCTCTCAAGCCTAAAAGACACGCGACAAACCTATGAGCTGACCAGGATCGAGCTCACGACGTGAGCTTATAAGGCTCACGACGTGAGAGTCTGATTTTCGAACTATAAATAGAGGATCAACCATCTTGCTTTCGTTTACACAAAAACGCAACCCTTTCTCCCGTATTGCTGATTTTGAGCCATTTTCCCGAGCCGACGATCGCTAACTGCTGACAGTGTTTAGTCGGATTCTATCGTAAAAAACGCACTTAGGGGTAATTTCATCGCAACATTCGGTTATTTCACAGTGAGTTCAATATAGGGACAATTGTATGTTATGTGTTATATGTGCAATGTGTTTTCCCGTGTTATTATGATAA